GTCCAACACGGGATTGGCCCACGATCATTCCTGGAATGCTCCGGGAATTGCAATGCCTGGGAGGAGCCCGGGTACCACTCCGTATGCTGACTGCCACTGGTGGTCCAACAATCCACCGTGCAGCAGTACGGCTCTCAGAGATCATAGCCTTGTGTGGTTGGAACCTGGAGCTGGCCGCTGTGGTTGCGCAGACCTGTGAGCCCACGGGCTGTGTCACTCGCCCCAGGGCTGTGGAGCATTTGGATTCCCTTGATTAGTTCACTCAAAACCCACATTGCGCTCAGGTACAAAATCTTTGCAACTTGCGTACTTTTGATTGTGCTTGCACGGCATTGGCCATCTTGCGCTCCGAACCCATCTGCATGCAGTTTTGGGCGGCTCAGCGGTGCAGTGGGCCTCAGATAGTTTGGTTTTCCAAGCCATGTCGCAAGCTCGTAGCATCGACCTGCAATCGCAAGACAGAGGCTTAAAGGCATGTCTGTCGGCAGCGAATGTCCAGGAAGCCTGGGCCACCAACTTCATCAGCCACTTCAAACTCGAGACCCTTGATGATTTCATCTACATGATCGATCGGACAAAGTGGCAGGATGAGGTCAAATCTCTCCTTGATGAGGTGCCTTCTCTGAAAGATAGCAGGCTTATCCTGGCCAGATTCCGTGGCGCTTTTGAGAGTGGTTTGAAAGCCATTGAGATGTCGCAGTCCCCTGCGGCCAAAGTCGACGACTATGATGACCCACTGCCGGAGCAGCAGCAGGCACAGCTGCAGCGGGACTGGCAGCAGGCTTACGGGTTTTCCATTGAACCACACCTTGAGCCCTCGGACACTCTGAGAGCGAGGATCTTCAGAGAATTCAGGCGCAAGAGTCTCACAGTCTTGGAGGTCAAGAAGATCAAAAGCGTTCTATCCAGCACATCACCGGCATCTCAGGAGCAAGTTACCCTTCAGGGCTCTGTCACGCTTCACTTTTCCAAGGAGGCCTTGCAGTCAGTCAACACAATCATCGATTATTATTTTGGGCTGCGCATATTGGCTAACGCTTGGGCGCTGGCAGGTAACTATATGGTTACTGATCCGGACTCAGTGGAGCGGCGCATGATCAAGCTCGACGATGCCATCAACTACGCTGACGGCTGTTTGAGGGACACTGTTCAGTTCGGGGGTGGCTCGCTGGCATGGTTGCAGAAGAACGACACCTTGACCAGAGGGCTCATGGCCTCTAAAGTTCGCCGCGGCTGGTCGGCGGGTCACAGCCTGCGTGAAGCCTTGCATGAAACGCACTTGGAGTGGCGCAGCCCTGTGTCCAAAGGGCAGGCCCCGGTTGCAACACCCGTCAAGGACGATCGCAAGCGCAAGGGGCTCGAGCTTGATATCCCAACACCCCCTAAGGCAAGCCGGCCCTCGAGCCAGGTGCAGACGGTGTCCACCCTCAAGGGCGGCAGGCGCCTCTGTAAGCCGTTCAACGACGGCAGAGGCTGCAGCGGTGACTGCGGCGATGTTCACGGCTGCGATGTTAGGCTAGCCTCAGGTGCAGCATGCGGCAGCACCAAGCACAACCGCCTGAATCATCCATTTTGAGACAGGGACGCCTCTGGCCCCC